AATTCAAAATGGTTACAGCCAATGGTTATAATTCCCGCTCGAGCCAAAAGCCTCTTTTGCGCGGCTATTTTCCTGGGATACAAATGGCCAGGTTGTTTTCCCTACAAAGCAGTTCTCACAGTTTCATCTCATTAAAACGAAGCACAGAAACCGCCACTCCAACACCTGTGACCCTGAGCTAGATAACAGAGCAGTAAACAACTTCTTGCAAGCAGGCACTGTCTAGGCATGCGCATGAATGCTGAAGCGATGACCAGTGAGGGGGGAAAAGACATCAAGTGCATTATAATTGACAGCATACAGAAACATGATCAGAACCCAAAATATCCATTGGCAGCTTGCTGACACAGGGGGACCCCTCAATAAGCACCGTCATGTCCACCTTATTTGGGCTATCGGGGGGCAAGTTCCATACCTGGTGCGGCTGGGGGTGGGCTGAGAGGGTATGCAGGTCCGTGTTTTGATTCGAGGTCTGGTGGGTCAAAGTCTTCTGTGATGGTCGTTGGGAGCAGCAGACCCTGGCAATGTGGCCCGGTTTGTTGCAGGAGCGGCAGACGGCGTCCCGGAACTGGCAACCACGGCGTTCATGCGCTTCCCCACAGCTGGTGCATTGGGACGGTGCCGAGGGGCTTTTGGCCAATTGTGCTCCCCCCGGGCGATGCTGCTGGGAGGGACAGCGGCAGACCTGGAGCACTTCAGCGTTTTCGGAGTCTTCCGACTTGAGTGTTGCTTGAGTGCGATGGACCGCCCGCACACGGCGGTCTTGGTGCGCCTTCTCGTAGGCCGCTGCCTCCCTGAGCGCTTTTGTCTAGGTCCAGGTCATCCTGGCTAACCAGTTTCCCCCAGACTTTGGGTTCCCAGAGACCCAAAAGGAACTGGTTTAGCAAGGCGTCCACCAGGTGGGGAAATGAACACCTGGTGGCTGCCCACCGGAGCCTGGCCAAGAACTTGGAGGCCAACTCGTCTGGCCCCTGGATCCGCGCAAAAAAGTCCATGTGCTCAGCAAACTTTGTGGGCTTTGGTGAAAGGTGGTCGGTCAGCGCTTTCACCAGCACCACATAGGACTCGTCCTTGGTCTGCTTAGGCACAATGAGGTCCTTAAGCAGCAAGACGGTGTCTATGCCACAGGACCGGAGGAGATGGGCTTTTTTCTTACCCAGGTCTACGATGTCGTGGCAGTCGAAGTAGCCCTCCAGGATCTCGAGCCAGGTCTCCCACTGTGTGGGGCAGGAGATGTCGAGAGCGGAGATGCTTTCCTGGGAGGTAGCCATCGTACTGCTACACGTGGTGAGGGTAGCTCGGGAATGGCGGCAGCGGCAGCTGGAGCGAGGCAGGAAGCGCTGCTGCTCTCGGGGTCAGCAGAGTGAGGTACGGAGCGAGGAGCGGAGCGGTGAGCGGCTACCGGAGAACCAGGGTGCAAAGCGGAGTGGCTAGCGATGGTCTCGGCGTTGGGGCTCAGTGTGGTGGACGAGTGATTTCAGCTTAGTGTACTTTACTAGATCAGGAACAAGACCAAGTAACCAGCTCGCAGGCTGGTTTATATGTGCAACAACCCCGCATCCAAAACACACCCACACACAAGTGATTGGCTATTTACAGTGGCCGAGAGTTCCATAGGCTCTCAGCTGGGAGCCAACCTGCTGATAGGTGCCGGCTAGGATCCGCTTGTCCCATTGTTACTGAGAGCAAAGCTCAGCCGCTTCGCATGACCGCGTGGTGAAATGGCCACGCACGTGGTCTGAGATGGATACATTACAAGATGAAAACAGAGGACTGAGTTCTTCTGAGAAAGAGCCAGTTTGGTGTAGTGGTTAAGTGTGCAGACTCTAATCTGGGAGAATTAGGTTTGAATCCCCACTCCTCCACTTGCAGCTGCTGGATGACCTTGGGCAAGCCATAGTTCTGTCAGAGCTGTCCTTGAATTGTTTTACTATATGCAGCTTGCCTTGGGGATGTCTCTACCCCAGCCACAGGATGCCAGCTAGGAGCACCAGCCCAGTGCTCTCTGCTGGCACCAGGGGCCTTGGGATGGGGCTGTTTTGGGTCATCGCTGACATCCTATGGTGGTGATCATTTTACAAGTCTGTTCAGAAAAATACTACCATTACCCACTCCCTTATAATGTGAATCGTTTTCATGTGAATGTATTCCCAATGACACTGCTGCCTTTCTGACAAAGCCTGCAAAAGCAGAAAAAGGGGGAGCATTTTGAAGCAGAAGTGCAAAAAGGAATGTGATTTGCCTGTGCTCTGCATGCCTGAAACCAAGGCAACTGGGCAGCTGCTCTCTGTGAAGAAAACCCGACCCGGGAAATCAAAACCTGAAAAGAAACTGAATAGATTTGATAACATCTCCCCTGAATCACTGAAGCGCATGGGAAAGAACCGCCACCAATAACCTCCCCCTTCCTCTGTCAAGTCACTTGGGAGAATACCGCACTTGAGATGTGTTGAAGAGGAAGAGAGGCCACCTTGCTAACCCCGGAGAAAGACAGGGGTTAATGCTCTGCTGCTTGGGTCCCTGACGAATGACTCAATGCTGCAGCAAACTTGCAAAGATTAAAACTGGTATCAAGAGGCATTGCTGGTACAAAACACATCCCCATCTCACCCTTTTAGCCCACATCTGATTGTGCCCCAGAAGCAGGTCGTTTTAATGCTTGTGTTGCAAAAAGTTGACTACAAGTTTACAAGAAGACCACGGACTGACCTCCTGCAGGTGACAGCAGGAGAGTCTTTGGTGTTTGTGCCTCAAGGACAGCTCTGCCTGTTTGTGGCTGCTGGGGGGGGGAGGGGGTTCTGGTGTCATCTGGCCCCACTGCTTGCTGGACCTCCTGGTGGCCCCTGGTGTTTCTGGCCACGTTGGGCTGGGTGGGCCACTGGCCCGACCCAACCCTGGCCTCTCGGATGTCCTGATGTGGGGAGCGGCTCCCGAAGTCCTGGCGGGCACACTGCCAAGAGGCCAGGGCGGCCGAGGCCGCCCCCACCACGAGGGCAGGGAAAGGGCCGGCGAGAGAAGCAGCGGCCGATGCCCGCCGCCCCCTCGGACAGGGAAGCCAGACCGACCCGGGACCGGCTCCGGAGGACTGACGCCTCCGCTGCTCTTTGGCCGCCCCGGGAAAGGAAGCGAGTCCCGCATCGCAGCAGCCTGCCGGCCCCGGGGCGCCTCGAGCTCGGCGGCGGCGGCGGCGGCGGCCAGACTGGGCAGGTGACCGAGGCGGCCGGGCTCCGCAGGCCCCCTCTCTCCGAGCCAGGCCCCTCCCGGAGCTCCGGCGCACACCGGCGGCTCCAGGAAACGCAGTCCCGGCGGGGCCACGCCGAAGGCGGGCGGGCGGGCGGGCAGCCGGAGGCGCGGCAAGCAAGGGACCGGCCGGCCCTCCGAC